CACAGGAAAAATCACTATTCTTTTAATAGTCAAGAGAAAGTCCATATTACTTTTATAAAATTGTCATTTTAAAAATATTTCGATGTTTCAATATTTTACAATAATTTACAAATGTGATACAGGCTTGACTTAATTCAATATAAAAAACGGCTGCCAAGTAAGGCCAGTATAGCTTCCTCACCGTTTTCATTGGCTAAAAAATGTCTATATTTCAAAGTCTATAATTGTTCGTATGAATATGAGTATGAAATATTGGCATATCTATAAAAATACATTTACACGTGCGCAAGCGGAAGTTCTGAAATTTAATAAAATTGATATGGTACCATCTAGACACCAGCCCGCACAATCCCTGAAAATTATATGAAAATCGGATAAATGGTAGTAGATGATATACACGTCACATCTGGATGACTTCAGTGAGACAGACAGGCAAGCAGAGAGACAGACAGACACCGAACCAAATTTGATCCTTGATGTCTGAAACGTAAAATGCGAGTGGAAATTCCTTACCTTCGGAAGTGAGGAAGCAATATAACTTCCAGGGTATAAAAAATGTTTGATGACAAACTGGATTCGTCGAAAAGTCAGGAATTTAACCTGAAACTGCGTATATATACTTATAGTCCGAGAGCCAGTCCAAAAAATCGACATTATTTGATGAAAACTTTGAAAAGCGTTTTTTTTTTAAATATTTGTAACATTTATATTAAACAAATGAGAGTCTGCCAATCGGACCTTGGTAGCAATAGAAATGGCGGCTGATTTAAAGAATATTATGATATAACTTGAGGATCTAAACTAGAAATTCATTGCGAAAGATGTGGGAAATTTGTTTATCTTTTGAATTTTTATATATGGGTTTAGACGTGTAAAAAATAAAATTACTAACGTGTGTCACCAAGGGAAAAATTTTACAGCCGAAATAGCAATAGTTTTTCACTTTTTCTATTTTTTTTTTTTCATTTTTTATTTTCAACTTTTTTTATTTTTTTACCAATAACTCCTGAACGGTGCATCGAAGCGAAAAATGTACTCTCTAATAAATTGAAGAACATTAAATTGTGAGTTGAACGAGTACCTAAACTTAATAATTTGGTTCAGTGGTATGGTCGATAACCTGGTCAACGAACGCTGATTTTTCAAAAAATTCCTCTTAAATTGAGACAAATAACTATAAATGGCCCTGCAACTAGGTAATGAGTTCTCTAAGAGAAAAAAAACCTCAGAATAAAATTTGTAGATCATCAGTACAGTTTTAATATAGGTCACTTACTCAGCTCGAAATCGGGAGTGCATAGCGATGGCTGGAAATTGATAATGAAGATATCTATATTTTTAAATAATTCAACAGTATGGTTATTATTTTAATGAGTTATTCTTGTTAAGAGTCTAGTATATACAGTATAGGACTCTTTCCACTAGGTTGCTTAAATGCGAGACCGAGACAAGTCTTGGTCTTGCAAACTCAGTCTTGGTCATAGTCTTGGTCTTGCGCAAGAGTCTCGCAACAGTCTTGCAGTTACTTAATAGCTTATTACTATAGACATATTACTGTAATTTTTTAGATAGAAGAAATCTAACTAAGCCCGAATGAAAAATTAGAGGAATTAAATGCAAAAGTATATTCGTTATACCAATTATTAACATATAGTAACTAAAATTGTCGTGTATCAGTAACTATTTTCCCTTAATTTTTATTTAAAAAATCGATTTTTTTACCAGTCCTGGTCTTGGTCTTGCAACAGTTAGGCGGCCTTGGTCTGGGTCTTGTAAAGTGCAAGACCAAGACTGATTTTGAGTAACACTACTTTCCACCTCTTAGCAGCGAAGAATTTATAAATACGAGATATTAAATGAAACCGAATGCCATGAAGAAATAACGAATCCCGATTCGAGCGGAGTAAGTGACCTACATTAAAACTGTTGGAACTCAGTGGACAAGGAATTTGATGCTATTCAACTCTTATTCTACAATGTGTTTCTCTAAGAGAACTTATTTCCAACTACAGTGCCATTTATAGTACATCATCTCAATGTTTGACGAATTTCGCAAAAATTATTATGTTAAGGTACTTATTCGACGCACAATTTAACATTTTTTAATTTCTTGAAAAGAATGTTTTTCTCTTTTATGCACCGTTTAGAAGTTATAGATTAAAAAACAAAAATAAGTATCGAAAAAATACGACTCTTTCAGCTCTAAAAATGTTTCCTTGGTGGCCCCGCGTTAGCAATTTTATATTTTTCAATCAGCCACATTTTTTACATGTCCGGTTGGCAGACTCACTTTTTTAATATAAATGGTATAAATATGTTGAAAAATTCTTTCAAAGTTTTCATCAAATAATGTTGCCCTTTTCTTTCTTTTTTTTTTTTTTTTTTTTTTTTTTTTTTTTTTTTTTTTTTTTTTTTTTTTTTTTTTTTTTTTTTTTTTTTTTTTTTTTTTTTTTTTTTTTTTTTTTTTTTTTTTTTTTTTGCATCGGCTCTCGGACTATTATAACAATGAAATGTAAGTACCGATTTAGAAATGAAAAAAAAATTATCTTTAAATTGCTACGCTAATGTAAAATAGTTTATACTAAATTTTAGTAAAACGTGCTTCAAAAAAAATAAAATAAAATAAAAAGATCGAGACCTAAGGCTTTCAAGAAATTTTACTTCAAGAATATGCATATATTAATACCTCAAAGATAAAAAAGAAATTAGTTGCTGAGGACGAAGCGGATTCATTACCTGAGCACTTCCAACACATCCATAAGCGGAAGTAATTTTATTATAACTTTTTGTGATACGAAAAGTAAGAAGCACTCGAATTTCCGCCTAAGGGGGGATGAAATTCATTTCGTAACCAGCCCACGAAATAAACTTTTCAACCCTCCCACTTAGGTAGGAACAGGATATTAACCTGTGGGTAATCATCTCCTCCTTTCCTCCAATACATTTAGTCCTTCTACCAATATAAAAAACGAAAATAAATATCAACAATATTGTCTCCACACGTTATAGCCAAAATGAAAAAGATGTTACAAAAATTTGTTGCACTTCAATTGGTTCAAAATTAGTCAAAATTTGTTAGAAACGAGTTGCTTTGAAGTCTTTGCTCTTCTTCAGGCCAAATTAAGATTTTAACTAACATATACCCTTTTCCTCGGAGAATATTGTTTATAGTTGTACAAAAAAACTATAAACAAAAGTCACTAGATCGCAGTCGGACACAGAAAAGATTATTTTAAAAACTAATATTAATATATATAATAGATACTGTAATTTTCTAGGTTTTCCCCATTACTCAAACAGGTCAGCAAATTCCCCAATATCTACCCTTACTCTGATTTTCCAGTTCTAAGTGAAACTCCTAGCTGAACACACCTGTAAGTCTCTATTTTTATTCTTCTAATTTTATTTACTTATTTATTTATTTTTTGGTTTTCTTTCTCCACAATTCTTCATGTCTATTATTGCACATTATATACTTTTTCCTTTTCTTTAAATCTCTCCTGTAGATCTTTAGATGTATATTCACATTTGCATATATTATATATTACACTACAACAATTCTTACCATCTATTTACTTCAGTTTAGGATATTGTTACTTAGCTTACTCTGTTTATATTTTAATGTACTTACGGTTTATAATTTTAATACGCTTATTCACATTGTTTATAATTGTTTTTCTAAATATTATGTAAATTCCACAATTCTCTATATCTGTTTGTATCTTGTCCGTTCTAGCCCTGAAGAAGACCTGCAAAGTCGGGTCGAAACGTTGGCTTTTAATAAAATATTTTTGCCACTATTTAGCCTATTTATGACAGCCACCCTGGACCATCTCCTTCCTTTAATATTAATAAGCATTTTATTGTTGAATTATGAAGGGATTTTTCACTTCGAACCATAGATGGGTATAATAATAATCAACGTTTACGATTATAGTAATTATGATTACGATTACAGTGATTTTTATTTCGTATTTATTACAAATTTACATTCGTCAGCAGCTTTCCGATCACAATTATAATCAGATAATCGTGTCACATTGTTGTTATATTTAAAGTGCTAACGAATCAAGTATACAAATAAAGCCCAGTGACCTTGTCATAAAAAGGTGTTAAAACAGACGTCTAAGTTGCATTTTTTTTTTTTTTATGTTACATCAAATGAGGATAAAAGGTTTCATTTTATTTCTCCCTTCCCACCCCTCCTCCGGATCATTTTTGAATATCCATAAAAATTGCTAATTTTTCACACTTTTTTTCGGTTTTTCTTACTATTATAATATTGGCAAAAAGGACCACGATAAGCCCATTTGCAGGACTAGTTTCCCCCACCAGTACCAGTACTGTTATAATATTTCATACTTTTTAAATGGTATTTTTAATTACTCCCTCGTCAAACAAACTGATCCCAACGTTTGTGAAGTTATTAATTTTGAAAGCCCCTGTTTTTTACGTGCTATTATACGTTACAATAATATGTTATTATATCCCAGTAGGTTGCTGTAACACACATAACACTTATTTCTAATCAGAGGAAAGAGTTATTGTTTTTAAAAAAAAAAATCGTTTTATTTACTTTTGAGGTCCTAGAAAATATATCCTCCCAGGAGCTCACTTACTAAGAAGAGTTTTTAAATAATAAAAAGTTATCATAAATAATAAAATAACTTTAGTTTATACAAAGATTATCTTTTCTTTTTTCCACTCATCAAAAATATAATCGCCTCTGGGCCAAATTATCAATGGGTCCCAAAAACATTTATATTAATGGAAATATCTAGGTGAAATCGGTATATGTTTATAAAGCTTTAAAAACATTCTCAATTAGAATCGAATGACTAAAGTCTTACTGGACTCTGTTCTTGGTGTAATTTACGGATTCCTTACAACGTATAATCCTAGTTGAATTATGTACTTCAACCGCGTGTATTTCGTTTACTGTTACATATTATGGGATTAAAGAGAAAAAATGGTATAGCAACAAACGAGGAATTCTAGACATGACAAACAAGTCGCCAACAATGGAGATGTCAGTGAGCGGTAGAGTACCAGATGAGACGGAACAAGTTCTTGACCAGGGAAAGGTCACCTGTCTGTCTCCGATCTTTCACGGCCGAAATCAAAAAAAGTAAAAAATATTTAAGGATTTTTTCCACCAAGAGCTACCAGCTTATATTATCTTGGACAAGAAAGCTGATCATATTCAACTACCATCCGGCTAGCATTATTGGATGGTCCAGCTGATTTAAAAATTCCTCAGCGTTTAATAACAGTGAGAATTCCTGCTATAAAATATATAGTCTCTCTTATTGTATAAATTAATTTATCCAGAGAAAACATGTTGATAATTCTAATAATTTTAATATATTCTTCTCTCATTCTTATTTTGCTTCCTCGCTAACCTAACATAGAGAACCGATATATTTCATGATTTAGATATCCAGGATCAAATTTGTTTTCGAGACTGTCTTTCTGTCAGTCCTAACCACACGTGGATCTACGGTTGGACTTTCGGACTGAAGGCTCCCCTCCCTCACCCCCCCCCCCTGAATTGAAAAATATAACCGTGTTTTATAAAAAAAATATTTTTAAAAAGTATTATTGTTCGACTGATTACATTTAATTGGACCTCAAGAATCAATTAAACACAATCAATTTCATATAGGTAGTTAGCTTCTTTCTTTTTCTTCCAAAATTATTATATTATATATAAAAAAAAGCTTTCGGGTTGAAGCCTCCCCCTCTCTCAAAAAATTAAATCCTGAATCCGTTACTGACCCTAACACCTACTAACGTACGGCAGTTTTTTTTCGATTTGGCTCGAACTTTGATATTGATAAAGTAGGTATCAGTTTTATCAAAATCCGTCCACTGATTTTGGAAATTCTTTTCGCTACAAATGCGCAAACGTGTTTTTCTTGTTACTTTCATATTTCAAAAAACGGCTTGTTCCACGTACAGCAAAGTTAAATGAAATTTGGGGAATAGTGTACAAATAACCCGGTATCAATTTCATTTAATAATTGAAATTATTTCTTAAGAATGTCATAGATGTGAAATGTGATAAGCAGTAAAAATCTAGGAAAAGAGATTATACTCGTATTTATACTAATAGTGTATTGTAATATAAATTTTTAAACTATGTGGCTTACTGTAGTCGTGTGATGTAAAGTGAATAACACGTTGGTGTAGGTTAACATTAATTTCGAGTTGATAGAATTTTCAATAATTGTAAGGGTGATATCTAAATGAATTTTCATTAAAAAGTAATAAATAAATATAGAATCTAGACAACGAACAATAAATCTGCGATACATAATATCTCTGATAATATTCTGATAAGTCTAAAAAAAAAAAAAGATAATTGACAACTTAATAAATAACAATTTCTTAACAAATCATTTTCTTGAAAATACACATTGGACAAACTTTAAAACTGTCTTTAAATACCGAATCAGTTAGAGTCCTGCCTGAATTTAAAAAGACAAAAAAAAATTATTGTACATATTAAGGTAGAATGCATTAAAACCAAAGTCCCATTAGTGGCAAATAATAATTTTCTTAAATAAAGTAGTTGAATAGTAAATTTGACATAAAATGAGAAAAGCATAGATGAATCGAAGCTTGATATACATATATTGTAGTGACAAATTATTTATCAACATGAAGTGAATCCTACGCTTAAAACTTTTATAAATAACCATATAGAAGTATATCGGTCCTGATACATACGTTACACCATATTAAATTTAATGTAAAGATAGGCTAATTTGAAAGGTAGATATAATATAATATAATATGAAAAATTAAATAGAAATGAGTGTTCGCAAGATCTTGAGTACTCATTAATAATGATAAATAGGACGTTATTTCAAACATAACGTCCTGTTGACTAAGAGAAGTCTTATATCTATCAGGCCGAACGCACTCCAAAGCTGAAATTGGACTTAGTCACGCAACACACATCTTCAAAGCCAGGGCCGGAAACAGTGAAGGGGAGGCAGTATGCCCACAATGTAGTATTTTTTGAGGTTAATATATTGATAGTTATTATGTGATGTATTTTTTAGGAAAATATTAATATCTAAATTTAAATTTGTATTAGAGTTAAATGTTTATTGGTCTAAATATTATTTAATTCTAATTGGACAAGACTTGTTGGTCATATACAAATTACTTATAACAATATTCAAGTCAAATTGGTCAGCCATGTAGGTAGTTCTTTTTCTTCCAGAGTAACAACCGTTAGTAAAAGAAAAAGGAGATTTAAAAAAAAAAAAAGATAAGAGGAAAAGAAAAATTTCTTATATCTTTTCTTGATACGTGATTTAATAGTTGTTTATACATTCGACACCACGCGTTGCCTGGCAACCTGATAACCGAAGGCGCATGGGGTCTTTTAAACACCCGCCCTTATCCCCTGGTCCGGGAAAATCCCCGTATAACCTTAAAAAAAATAATAAAAGTTGTTTATGAATTATAATTTAAAGAGAGAATATTATTGTGATTGTTAACGATTTAGCCTAGACCATTTTCATAAACTGTGGATCAATTAAAAAAAAAAATTATTTTTCCATTTTGGAATGGGCTTCAACCCGATAGCCTGCTCTTTCGTAATGATGCTTATGATAATGGCTTTAAGGTAAGAAAAACGTGACCCAAGGTTGTTCAATGTGAAATATTAATCAAAATATTTTTTCCAAAAAGATTACGATGTGGGTATCCAATACGTTTCAGAAGAACATTTGATCGATATATATTAATAACTAATCGGTATTGTTTAATAATTTAGCAAAGAAATTACAGTAAATAAAATATAAATAATTCCTACGAGAATAATTAATGCAGATTCAATCTTGCCGCAATTCAAGTACTACACTATTCGTGTAGTGTAGTGACCCTACCACAGGGTCGCCCCACGACCGATGAAACAGAATAAATAATTTTTCTGCCATAAGCCGAGATTCGAACCTGGGACCTCGAATATTGAAAGTTCACTGCCCTACCACTGAGCTACCCCACTCCCTTTTATTTTCAATTCTGAGATATCAGTTTCGCGTTTTTGTATTACTAATTACAAATTAAAAATTTATGAAACCACTTATAAAATTAAAAAATCTAAATTTAATGTTCTACCGAAAATAGAAACTATCGGACTTGATAAAAACATAAAAAGATCGAACCTAGGTGCTGGATAAAGTATAATGATTGGATCGACCTAATTCTTCTGGTCTCAATCAAATGAATTTATCCGTAAATATTGCATGATTCATTAATTTTTAGACCATTTTATTCTTGTTATATACTCTAGTAATGACGAAAACAAACACTGACTTGTGAAAAGATCCACCTTCTTTTATGATCAAGTTTTTCTGAAGAATAACCCATTTATGTACAGACCCAAAACTTGGAAACAGTCCATTTGATTCTCGCACCGTCCCTGTTGAATAAAGAAATACTAGGAGAAGAGCCACTTCACGAACGAGAGAATATGATATGAGGGTTTGTTAGCTGGGATGGAAAGTAAATACTGTGATTGTTTGTTTAGGACTCAGGGGAAGGATGATATAAGAATTTAATGGATATTAACTAAACGTATTGAGTATGAGATCAATTTTATATCGAAATTCTATAAGATGATAAATATTCTAATTTAATACAAAGATATTTAATGTTGACGTTTATTTTTACTTGCCTTTTATAGACCAATTAACGGAGAGATTAGGGACGGTTTTAGGGAACAAGGGTCTTTGAAAGACAAACAATTTTCAAATTATGATATGAAAAATATAATCGAACAAAAAAAAAAGAAACGATTTTTCAGGCCACATTTAATTTTAATTTAATTTAATTTATTAATTACTCCCTGTTTCCTGCTCTATTAAATTACAGTAGTAATCAACTTGTACATACGCGATCATTAATCCATTTTATGCTATAGGCCATAGGATCTTAAACTAGGTTTGTCTGAACAATTTTAACATCAGGTTTAAATCTTCCAGCTTTCAATTTTATTAAAATAATTCATTGAAAACTCTACACGTAAAGGCGTTTTTTTATTCCTTGCCATTTAACTAATTCTTAAGGTAACGACGTAAAATACCTAGGATTCATAAGGGATCTGCAAAAAAAAAAAAAGTTCAAGGAAGAATTTCCTGTCTACAAAATTATAAGAGCCTCTTGAAGACCAATAAGCATTTAGAATTCCCCATGATGACTGAACCAAATAAAAGACAATATCAAGGTTTTTATTTAGTAGTTAAAATAATCATATGATATTAATTAAAAATTATTTATTATTTTTTACGTAATATTTAATTGTATTTATATATTTAAAAATAAAGTTGACAATAAATTTAGTATATTTCAAACTTATTTACTTTTATTTTTTTTTTAATATGATATTCTGGGTTATCAAAATACGCAAAAGTAGGTTCACAAAGAAAACGATTCTTTTTTTATCATAGTAAACGCTAGTCTTCTTTATCTGTCTCATCAGCGAGCGAAACAAAGTTTATTCGAGTCATAATTGGAATTCTACAATTCAGGATATAACTGTATCCCCTCGAAATATAGAAAAAAACACCATATTTATTTAAAAGTATTTTTAAAAAAGACAACAACATTGCGTTTATAATGTTGTCATTTAATAGGAGAAAAAAGGGAATTAGCTCTTTTTAGAGAGGGAGATTCCAAATGAGAGTACAATAAACAGGTCTTGTTAATTTGCAACAACTAAAACTGATGTCACTACCTACCTTAAATATCATTGACAGTATTTTTTTTTATTTATTTTTTTAATCCTTCAACATGTTTTCAGCCACTGTTACACTACGGACTAGATAAGGTATAGATAACATTATAGATATAGGTGAAGTGGTACCTCTATGGAACACTCCCGAAGATGGTGATCTGGTCACAAGCGAGCGCAGACTAACCGCCCGTTGCCCCTACCACTAGCGGCAGATGACCACCGCATCCATCCAGTCAACTGATATACATAAATATGGCATCTTATAGCTGACATTCTGGGAGGTCCACGAAAAGAAAGACGGGGCAGGAACATAGCGATAGCCGCCCAAGATTACCTCCCGAGGAAGGTAAATATGGTAAGGTCTTGGAGGTCTGAAGCGAATCCACCTCAGTGTTCAAAGGGGCTTGGGATATAAATGTTATAACAAAACAAGATTATTTTCAAGCATAACTATGACAAATTTAAATGACATTGCACGAATAAATATATAAAATTTACAGTAGAATTAATTACGGACTTGAGTATATCCACAATAGATTGATAATTTTTTGGATATCAGCTAGTTTTTTTTTTTTTTTGTATTTGCATACATTTGACACTGTTGGTGCTTGAAACGATGTCATGTATAAAACAACATTCTTAGTTATTGCAATTCCTGTCGATTAGCTTCACTGAAAAATATTACTCATTAGATGTCGGTAGTGTTGCCCAAAATCGGTCTTGGTCTTTCACTTTGCAAGACCATGACCAAGGCCGCCTAACTGTTCCAAGACCAAGACCAGGACTGGTAAAAGAATAGATTTTTTAAAATAAAAATTAAAGCAAAATAGTTACTAGTACTCGACAATTTTAGTTACTATGTGTTAATGATTGGTATAACCAATATACTGTTGCATTTAACTCTTGTAATTTTTCATTCGGCCTTAATTAGGTTTCTCCTATCTAAAAAAATACAGTAATATCTCTATAGAAATAAGCTAAGTAACTGGAAGACAGTTGCGAGACTCTTGTGCAAGACCAAGACCATGACCTAGACTGAGTTTGCAAGACCGTGGTCTTGGTCTTGCAAACTCAGTCTAGTTTGCAAGACCAAGACTCGTCTCGGACTCGCATTTGGGCAACACTAGACTTCGGCCTTAGTAATATTGGGGAGAGGGCACAAAGGTTAGTGTAACATATTCAAAGCACAAGACGTAAAGGAGAGATGAATGGAATACCATAAAAGAGTAGCTCAATAATCAGTTCACTACCTGTATAACCTGTATTACAATGTAATATATTATTTTCCAAAGGTGCTTCGTGTCCAGGTCTTCGTAAATTCTTCATAGAATCAACAAATCTACTCACAATTTTGAAGATACAGAAAATCATAAAAAAAGTTATAAAGCGAAGGAAACTTTATTTGGGCATAATTCAAGAACCATATAATTAATGGTACATAGAGTTTAAAAGTTTTAAACTCAATAACAAATTACCTACAAAATTTAAAAAATCAACGAATGCGGATGATTTGTAGAAAATATTGTATTTGCAACCAATTGTATTTTGTACACATGTCGAACGATGGACCCATGAGTGAACTTTTGTAATCGATCAAGGATAAAAAATAAATTCCTTCGTCGTATAATCCCTTGAATTTACTCATGTCCTTATTTTATTCCCATTTGTTCAAAGATTAATATACTATGCGAATTATTCGCGAGGGTCAACTAGTAGCATACATTTTTTTTAAATTTTGTTCTACCCTTCCCCGTCTTTTAGGCCCTTGGCAGGTGTGAGGGTGGGGAATTAATGCTATAGTTAAAAGACCCCTCCCCCCTCCCCCCGACACCGGGACGCGAACCCGTAATTATTGAAGTGAAAACTTCGTTAGGCACGTTTTCCACTTTTTTGAGGAGAGTGAATTAGATTTCCGACGTATAACGATCGGTTAAAGTTGGCTGGAGACGACTAATTGAAGTGTTTTGCATATGGATTAAAATATCTAAAAAGTTAAACATCGGACCTGTATATTGTTAGCAAGGAATGTTCATCATTTCATCCTCTTTATAATGAGCGATTATTTAAAAATTATATTTTATATTATTAATCTCGCCTAGTTGGTGTTTTCATACGCCTAAATCACACACCTTAACTTCGGTTATCAGATTTCCGAGCAACACCCTTATCCCTCTCGGCCACTCCACCGCTAACTAGTAGTATAAATATTATTTACGAGTATATTATAAATTCTATACGGTTTATTGAACGATTTGTTATTTTAAGTAAATACCTACGAAATATTAGAGAAGCTGGCCCCTTTTCACAAAATATATCACAAAGCAGAAAGTTTATATCACGTATAAACAAGATCTTATAGACCAGAGGTCTCCATACTATGGCCGGATCCGGAAAGTTTCGTTGATTGCGAGGTAAAATTTTAAAAACTATTTTAAAAATATAAAATTTATCAAATTAATCACACAGGAGAGTACTACAGCATTTATTGCATGGTTATTTTTCTCTTAAAAAGCTCATTTCACGGCTGAAGTGTCATCTATAGAGCAAGATTTCTTTCATCACAAGCCGTGACACGCGGAACTTGGTTAGAGATCTCATCGCGGCTAGTGGGACTTAGCGGATGCCTTAATGTGGCCCGCGGACCAAAACTTTTGGAGATCCATATTACAGACTATAACATATAACGACCATTTCATTTAACTGAACTTATATCTTAACGGCTTGGAGCTAATAACCATTTAAAATTCTAGATAAAGCCCATCTGACACATACATCTTGGGTCATTCTTTCTAAAGTCGTTGTTTTCTGTACAAAAATTTAAATTAAAATGGTGAAATTTGACGTTTTATTTAACGGAAGAACTAACGGCTGAAATTTTGATATGGTGAAAAGAATGTGTCCCTTAAAATTCATCTTGACTGACGATGTATTCGGTTACGTTTTGAAAACTGGTGGCGTCAAAGTCCTCAAATTAGTCCAGTTGAATGGCAGTTGGATCTGGAAAAAATATCAAAAAGCCGATTTCTGCCAAAAAATATAAAAAAGCCTATACATTGATTTCTCTTTGGTATTTATGTTTTTTTGGGATGCTAAATCGGAAATGTTTTATTGCGTTTCGAGATACAGATAAAAAAACAGCGAAATTTCTGCACTTTTTTTGGCCGTGACTTCGAAAGTATGCATTTTATCTAAATTATTACTTTATACAATAAAATAAAATCAGCTATAAGTTTCTTATTTTACGCTTTTTGATGTAACGGGTGAGGAGTTAAAGCAAGTTGACTCTTTGCTTATTTCAAATGAAATAGCTGTTATCGTCAGGTTTTTCCCACAAAATTCATTATCAAAGAAGAACCGAAATTCATCAACGAAGAAATTCATTATAATCAATTTAAAAGAAAATTTAATTTCCTATATATCTTATGTGGATATGTCAATATATGAGAAGATAAGGAGCTGTAAAAACGCACGAAATTGAAGGCGTATTTCAGTCATGATATCTGCCGCACTTAACTTAGGCACTTTTCATCTTTTCAATTATTTTTATTCAACTGTATTTATAAGAAAACTAGAATTTATTAACAAATTATAAATTCTTTTTATAATTATCCTGGCAGAGAATACATCAACATTGATAATAATAAAAAAAAATAAGGTCTGAAATGTGCTTCAAAATCAGAGCGCTCATAATGTCTTTTCACCTTTTCGTTGATTAATAATAGTATCCGAACTCAATAGGAAATTTAATGCTCCTCCAATTCAAGCTTATATAGAGTCATAATATGGGGGGTGGCAAATTTTGACTGAGTTGTGACTAGAAGGAAAATATTTTTACGGCGTTTCGATTAAGGACTTCCTAGGCCAAGGAAATCAGGAGTGGGGGTGGACACCTTTGTCGCTTTAATTTTTACTCTCTCTGACCAGATTCAAAGAAGTTTTAGCAAATCAAATTTTCAAACTTTTTTTTTTTTAATTAAAGTTAGAACAGAACCAACACCTCTCTGAAACAATTTAGAAAACTCAATCTTTTCAAAACTGGACGCTGATAAAAATTAAAATTGAGTTATCCCTTTTTTTGAGAGTCCCCTAAAATTAATATTACTGCTTTTCTTTGATATTAACCGCCACCCTGATCCTCTTCTCCTTGAAAAATGCAAATTTTCTTATCATTTAATAGTGCAACTGAAGGCATTCGTTAAATCATTTCTATTACAAAAACAAAGCAGCTAACAAGAGACTTCAAAGGTGAGACGTTCCTTTCTTTGTAGTGGAAAGCAATAACAGTTAAAAACTAAAAGAAACACAGAAAACGTTTTAAAAACTGGATCTTGAATATCATCTTCTAGACCGATAGGAAATGCTTCTGACTAGACCATATCTCTAGACCCTGATTAAGAAATGGCCCCGTTAATCTTTGTTGAAAAAATTATATAATTTATTCAAAAACAAAACAGATTTGTCCGTAAAAAGGTGGTTTTTAGAGAACTCAGAAACCCGCCATTCATGAAGACGTTATGTAAACAAAACAACCAGCCAGTCTTCCTGTAGTTCCTTTTTCATAACTGATATTTCTTAAATTTGGAAACAAATAAAATTCATTACATTCTTGAAAAGTATTTTTAAACAGTGGATTGATGGTTAACTGTAGTGAGTAATTGAAGATATATAGGTTGGGGTATTCAATAAAAAAAATAATTTAATAAAATATTTTTATTTTAAAATAAAATATTAAATATAAAAATAAATATAATTTATATTTCTCTTCTCTATTTTATTTTCTCCCAAACCAATCTTCTCTTCAAGTATTTTTGAAACAATCATTATATAAAAAAAAAATACCAAATAGGGGAAAAGAAACAAAGGTGATAGCATTAGGATACATCATTTAAAAAATAAATAAAAATCTTAAATTCCAAAGACAGGACAATTCAATCGCAAAGACTTTACGAATAAGTCAAGATAAGATTATAATGACATAATTTATTTACTTTAAAATTTACAAACTAATAGAAAATGTCACGTTCTAATAATACTGATTGCAATAAATATCTAGGAAAAATTATAGACATAGAAATTTTCCTAGTTTTTTTTTTTTTTTTTTAATTTTCCTGTTAATACATTTTTTTATATTTTTACTTTCACTTATCTATATTATTTAATATATAGTAAGGGTAAGTATTGCGATCGAGAAAATTTTCGAATCCCAGTTTTCAGTTTTCAACGTTTTGAGGTTCCCTGAGTCCAAATAACCAAGTCTCGCAAAATGGTCTGTGTTTGTGTATGTGAACAGTTCAGCTCAAAAACAAAAAATCCTACAAAACTGATATTACCTATTAAATATGTATATGACTCAGATGTTACAACAAATTTTTCCTTAAAATCGGCTAACCGGATGTGTCAATTTATATCAACGGT